CCTCTGGAGATGCTGATTGACTTGTCCTGGGGCGGGACCCAGGGGGTGCTCTTGAGCAGCCAGTGTACAGGGACCCCCTCCAGAACCTCAGTATTCATGGTGGGTCTGTGACCTGCAGCCTGGAGTCACCGAGAGAGCTGTTAGAAATGCAGAGTGCCAGGCCTCTCCCCAGACTTTCTGGCTCCGATCCCCAGAGTGCTGAGCTCAACACCTGTGCTTTCTAGCACTGTGCGTTCCGTGCACTTGAACCTTGGAGCCTCCCATAGGCTGATCCAGAGCAATGGTTTTCAACAGAGCAAGGCAGGGGGCAGTGTCACTCCTCAGGGAGGGTGACCAGCTGTCCCAGCTTGCCCAGGACCGAGGGGCTTCCCTGCAAGTGAGGCTTTCAGTGCCAAGACCGAGACTGTCCTAGGAGAACCAGGGGACTCTTGGCAACATATGGAGACATTTCTGGTTGTCACAACTGGGGCATGAGAGTGCTCCTGGCATCCCGGGTAGGGAGGCCACGGATGCTACTCAACATCCTGCAGTGCCCAGGACGGCCCCACCACAAACAGAGATCCAGCCCCGAACGTCCATGGTGCTAGAGCTGAGAAACCCAGATCTAGAATGTTCTAGAATGAACATTTCATGTGCAAGATATAAAGCATCCATCACAAAGAAACAACAGCTTCAGCAGTGATCTTGGCAGGCTTCCCTCCTTAGGGGGTCTCACCACGCCCACCCTGTATTGCTGGGCAGGAGGAGGAAGCCGAGGCAGGCTGGGTGCCGTTTCCCCCTGGGCCTCTCTGGGGACGCACGGAGCTCGCCGCAGCTGCTCACCCGGAGTAGTTGGGGATGGTGCCGTGCGCAGCAGCATCCTTCATGGTGTAAGGGTTCACGCGGTGGGCGTGCCAGCAGCCGCAGCCCTGGAACATGGTGTCGGTGACGTGGAGGACCTCGTTGCAATGCACTTGCAGCTCCCCCTTGGCCCTCCCCTCCATGGCCAGGTTGACCCGGATGTAGAATGAGTCCCCCGAGGTCGCCACTTTGGCCTCCAGATCCTGGAGTAGCCTCTTATAACCTGATAAAAGGGGACATGAGCCACAGATGAGCTGCAATTACGAGCCCGCACGAGGAAGGTTGCAGAAAATTAAAGTAGGAGAGAAGGAAGGACCCTCCGCAGTCTCAGAAGCCGCTCTGGCACTGGAGTCAGCGGGTGGGAGGTTTCCAGCTGGCTTGGGAGCCTCCCGGGGACCTGGGGCTCAGCCTGGCTGGTCTTCTCCTGGCTCTGGGGGGACCCTGACTGCTGGGCATGTAGAGCCACCAGGGACCTAAGGGTCCCAGAGACCGGCCAGGCAGCTGTGCACACGAGAGGAGTGGTGTGCGTACCGTCCATGTTGACCTTCACAGACAGGCAGCAGAAGCCATCCACCCTCCTGAGAAGCCCCACGGCCTGTTCCAGGGTCGTATCCTCCAGGACTGCCTTGAACAAGGGCTCTGAGGCTTCGTAATCAACCTGAGGGCAAGTCGAGAAGGTCAGTCTATTTCCCCAGGACGCTGAATCCAGCCAGGATGCAGAGGGCGCTGAGGGCACTGAGGCAAGGCGTGGGCCAGCCCTGGAGTAGGACCACTGCCTGCCAGCCTTGGCCAAAACAAAGCTGCACCACCAGAGCCTCTGTGGGGCCTTGAGACCTCTAGTGACGCATGCTACACATCGTCCTGGCCAGAGGGTCAACTGCCAACCCTTCCCCAACCCGTCCACTGTCGGGGTTGCGGGTTCTTTGTGATAAGCATTTTCCTCTCTTGAAAAAAAGAAAAAGGAAAAAA